ACAAGGGGATCCATAAGAACAATGCCTGGCACATAATAAGTGCTCGATGTGTGCAGCCATCTCAAGTAGTGGTATTGCTGTGAGGCACGGAGGGAGATTTGCTTGAGAGACAGGGAAGGCAGGGAGAGAAGCTCCCAGAATCGCAGGGCTTTCGAAGAACCACCCGTGCACATTCCCTTGGATGTCCCTCCCAGCTCTCAGGGGGGTATAATATGCATCCTAATTTAGGGTTGAGGACACGGAGGCTCAGAAAGGGCACCTGTCCATCCAAATCTTGCAGCTTGTGAGTGGTAGACTGGAGTTTGCACCCACAACTGTGTGACTCCTAGTGGCCTTGTCACCTGAGCCTCAGCTGGCCTCATTTAACTCCCTTTTCTCAAGTGGAGGCCTTGTGCCTAAATGCTGCGTGGCCTCAGGAGAGACACGTTCTCTTGCCAGGCTGGGTCCTTTGCCTGGGTCTGTGTGTGCGTGCTCCAGACGCCTTTCCCTTTGGGCTCCATGTCTGTGTGCCACCTAGAATCATCATCTTCCTCCCCCATGGCAGGCCTGGAGTGCCTTACAGATCACTGGGGCAAAACTTCTCCCGTAAAAAAGGCAAGATGTGCTCAAAGTAACAGGGCCCATCAGTCATAGGTAACATTTTAAATATATATAGTTTACTCTGCCATGCATGGCTCCCAGCACTTTAGCTACATTCACTTATTTCATCCTTGCAATAACTCTATGAGGATGAAATTCTTATCATCATTATCACCATCTCCATTTTACAGATGAGGAAACTGAGGGGCAGAATTAAGTCACTTGCTCCAGGAAGCAATAGATGTAGGATTTGAACCCAGGTACTCTGGGCTGGCTGCCAGGTTCGTAACTCACAGGCCCCTCTGCTTCTTGGCCTTGGGTCCAGGTTTTCGCCCCCATCTCCCAGCTCCGTGTCCACTGATCCCAACAGCTCCTGCTTCCCTGGTGCTGGCCATCTTCCTGGTGCTGGCTCCCCGTGGTGACTCTGTTATGCCTCGGTTATCACTCCTCCGTTATCTATGAGCAAACTGAGGCTCCCAGCGCGGAAGCCATCTGGCCAAGGTCACTTCCATCAATAAGGGGTGCCTGAGCCATGATGCTTCAAACCCTGGGTCACTCTGAGGCTTTGACCTCTACGAGATACCAAGATAGCGGCTCTGGGCTGGGGGTGGTGAGGGGATGCTGAGACGTTTAAGGAGTGGCTTCTGCCTTTTTAGAGTTCAAAGTTCAGAGCCTCCCACCGCCTGCCCTGGACTCTACTGGGGAACAGGCCTCTAGTGGGCAGCTGGCCACAGTCCTGCTCCCCAAAGGGGCTGGCATGGAGTCACTGGTGCCTGCGGAGAGCCTGGGTACAGCCCAGTGCCCTGACAGAAATGCCTGCTGCTGCCCACCGGGGAGCTGGGGAGGGGGTAGGATGGTGGCGGGTAAAGTTTCCAGATCAGGGCTCCGAGAACAGACCAGTTCTCTTTCTGTCCTGAGTGAGTGAGGGGGGCAAGTTTGGGGCGATGGGAAGAAAGATGCCTTGTGTCTGCCTGGAAGTCATTCCCCAGCTCAAAAATTAACCGCCTGATAAAGCATTTTCTTCTCCCCCCCTCACCTCGCATGCTTTGCCTGCAGACTTTAATCCCTGCTGTGATGGGCTCGCTAAGCCTGAGAAGCTGGGATTTCTTTGTGGGGGTGGGGATTATAAGGCTTCCTGTAAGAAACGCCCGGGTTGGGTTGGCATGGATAAGGCTGCTCAGGGACTGTGGGGACCTTCCTTTCTTGCTCCCAACCAGGGCCAGGGTTAGGGTAACCCAGGCAAGGCCCCTAAGGAACAAAGTTGGAGTTGGGCTCACCGTCAGGGCTGTGCACCTGCCTTACCCCAGTCTCAGCCCTGCTATCATCTCTGCTGCCTGATAAAGCTCAGGGCACCGTGGGCTTTCAAGGTAAAACAAGTCCTTACCTCTGACTCGCTGTGACTGCAGGCAAGCCCCTTTCCTTCTGCAGGCAACCATTGTCCTAGGGGTTAGATCAGACCAGGATTTCTCAACCTTGGCACTGTTGACATTGACACTATTGGGAAAGAAATTCTCTGTCTTGGGCACTGCAAGAAGTTAAGTAGCATCTCTGGCCTCTACCCACTAGATTTCCCCTCTCTAATCATGACAACCAAAAATGTCCCCAGGCACATGTCCCCTGGGGGGACAAAATCACTCCCTATTGAGAACCATGGAATTCAACGATCTCAAATTTATTCTAGCTGTGATAGTTTAAGACTTTATGTTAAGATTTAAGAAGAGCATTTAAGAATTTGAACTTGAATTATTAATAATAAAGTACATTAATATGTGATCATGAATAATTTATCCAAAATAACAATAGCTCATATTTATTGAGCATTCCCATGTGTTCATCGGTGGGTGAGTGGTTAGCTTACATGAAATAAACCACTCTCCGAGGTAGGTACTATTATTGTGTGCCCACAGTAGGTAAGGAAACTGAGGGCGAGGGCGTTAAGTAACTGGCCCAGGATCACACAGCTGGAGTGGAAGGCTTACCTGATTCCAAAGCTCATGCTAGTTCTGCGATGCCTGTTTATCGTAGAAAGATTAGAAAAAACAGATAACCGAAAGGAAATATAGTTCTTCCTGAGGACCAAGCTACCAGGTGGAAGGCACTTCTGGTTTAAGTCGGTGGAATCCAGACTTTCCCATCCCACCCATCTTTGTAAAGCAATCTGAAAACAGCGACCAAAAGTAGTAAAGGGAGGAGGGAATGTCATCTTTGAAGAGAAGGACAGGCCAGTCCCAGCCCTGGTGAGTGAAGAGGTAACAGTGGCGATGGGATTTAGACCAAATGGCAGAAGGAAACCAAGCGCCGTACATGCTCTGCGGCTCCCAGGCGGGACGCAGACTTCTCCAGAAGTATTTTCAGCTCTATGGGCTCTTCCTAAGCCTGGTAAAGCCTGGAAAATACCCAGGGGGAAGGGACAGTCGCTGAGACGCACGTGACAGGACGGAGTTCCCGTGCGTTGGAGGAGGCTCAGAGCCCTTGGTGAGATGCAGGATGTTGGAAGGTGGGCGGGAGACAGAGGATGGACAACGACCAGCTCTGTCGTTGTCATACATTTCTATTTCTCTTTCTCTAAGTGACATGAAATCTCAAAGAGACCCCAAAGAACTGTGACATTCTTTTTTCTTTTTTTAAAGATTTTTTTAAATCTTAAAAAAGGAAGAGACAAAGGAAGGGGGTGGGGGGGGAGAGAGAGAGAGAAACATCAATGAGAGAGAAACATCAGTTAGCTGCCTCCTGCACGCCCCCAGCTGGGGATCGAGCTCGCAGCCCAGGCATGTGCCCTGACCAGGAATCAAACCAGCAACCTTTCGGTGCACAGGACTGTGCCCAACCAACTGAGCCACACTGGTGGCCTGGGCAGAGCTGTGACATTCTTGGGTCTTCACACTGAATCTCCACAGTAAGCCTAATGCTTAGGGTGAGACACATTTTGGGGCAGCTCTGATGACCAAGGATTCTGAGAAGCCAGCAGTGCTAATGCTCAGGCACCTGCTGCCCCAGCCTCCTCCCAGCTCCTCTCCCCACACTTTCCTTTAAAAGAACTGGTCTGAAGAGAGTGGCCCCAATCCTGTGATGAATAGCCTGCACGGGACCCACAAAAAGACAGTGTGAGAAATAAGAAGGGCACATCAAATAAAAAGTAAAAAATAAATACTGGAGCTGTGTTATGAAGCTGGAGAAACTACTGGACAGATATTTCTCAGTGAAATATTTAAAAAATATTAAAGAAAAGACTTCAATGGGATCCTCTGTGATGTAGACAACCCCAGATTATTATTCCCGATTTGCAGATGAACAAACTGAGGCTCAGAGGGTTCAGTGAGTGATTTGCCACAAAAATTTAGTAGCAAAACTACTATGCCCAGGCTTCCTGGCCCCGAGGTCTGAATTCTCTAGAGCAGCTCAGTCCAACAGAACTTTCTGATGATGGAAATGTCCTATATTCTCTGTCCAGAATGATAGACACTAGTCTCATGTGGCTACTGAGCACTTGAACTGTGGCTCATCTGACTGAGAAACTGAAAGTCTAAATTTCATTTAAGTTGAATGAATTTAAACTTGAATAGCTCCATGTGGGCTGAAGCTACTGCATTTGGACAGCTCAGCTCTAGAGATTTCCTTGGCAGTCTTTTCCCTTCTATTTCAGCCCTCACTGAACCCCACCTACATCAGGTTCTCCCCAAATCTGGCCCCTGGGGTCAGCCTTTAAAGTTAGGACCAGGCTTCTTGTTCCTGGCACCTGTCTTCTTGGGTACAGCCTCCTTTAGGCTCATCTGTCCCTGGAGGTTTCAGCTGAGTCATTCAGCTTCTGATCATCAAGGGGGTAGTCTGGGGAGTTGAGAAATGTTTCACCTGGAGCCAGGACTCCACCTACCCTGGGCCACCTTCTTGAAGTAGAACCTCTGGACAAAACAAAGTGACCAGGGGGCAAAGTGCTGACTCTGAGATGGCCCAGAAAGTGAGCCTGCAAGATTAGACACCTCCCCAACCTCTGAACTGCAGAAGTTAAAATTCAAAGGAACAGGATCTACACCATCTCCCAGGGTCCCCATCAGATTAACCCCAGCTGCCAACAGTGGTAATGGTAACCACATTAACACGCTCTGTATTGGCTTCCTCCTCTGTTTCACTTCCCCACTGCCCTTCTGGAACTTTCTGAGATCCCTGACTAAGTAAACTGTTTTCACTCTCATGCTCATCTCAGGGCCTACTTCCAAGACCGTGGGGTATTTCATAGAATTCTCAAAAAGTCACATGAACCGGACAGATACAGCTTCCCTATTTTAGAGCTGAGCAGAATGAAGCTCAGATAGGTGACACCACCTGCTTGAGGTCCAGCCTTGGGCACTTACCCTCGCCACGGCCCCCCAAGGAATGCACCTTGATGGGCCTGCTGTGGGCCCCCCCCTCGCCCTGCACCCCCAGCTCTGCGGACCCTCCTGAGCCTGCACCTCTCGCCCCGCAGGAAGGCCGCTGCCTGTTTGTCATCCTGCTCATGGCGGTGTACTGGTGCACGGAGGCCCTGCCCCTCTCGGTGACCGCCCTGCTGCCCATCACCCTCTTCCCCTTCTTGGGTATCCTGCGCTCCAGCATAGTCTGCCCCCAGTACTTCCTGGACACCAACTTCCTCTTCCTCAGCGGTCTGATCATGGCCAGTGCCATCGAGGAGTGGAACCTGCACCGGAGAATCGCCCTCAAGATCCTGATGCTGGTCGGGGTGCGGCCGGCCTGGTAAGGCCAGGGGACGGGTCCCGCCCACAGGCGGGGAGGCAGAGGGACCCTATCTCTTGGAGCCCAAATTCACTCTTTCTTGGTACTCATGCAGGCTGACAAGCTCATGTCCCGCTTTCCGGTCACTTGGTCATTCCTCAGATATTTAATGAGCCTCCTCTGTGCGCCAGGCACAGCGCTGGCTCTTGGCGTGGGGATTCTCAAAAGTGTATACGAATCACTGGGAAATCACTGGGTTGAAATGCTGATTTCCAGGCCCCACCCCCAGGGATTTGTGTTCAGTAGTTTTAGAAGGGGCCACCTAGCAGTGTGACTGCTTGGGGCTGAATTCCACCTTTCCTGCTCTGGGAAATGACTGAACCTCCGGCAATCAATAGCCTAGACCTGCACAGCTCATGCACAGCAGATGCTTTCAGCCTAGCTTGCTGTTTACCAGCCACGGTGTCGGCGGGTGGGGAGTGGGTGACATGGCCTCAGAGAGGCAGGAGGCAGGGTCCACTCCTGCAGGCTGTTCCTCAGGCCCCTGGTTAGGATTTGGACTTTTCTTTTAAGAGGATTGAATGGCCTTTCAAATAGGGCCATTGCTGTTCTTTCTTTCTTTCTTTTTTTTTTTTTTTGCAATTTGGTGACTTTTAAGGATTCCTTCTCAAATAATGTTTTTAAATCCTAAAGCACAGCACACGGCTTTAAAACAATAGCCACAATAATGACAGCAAAAGGCAGTCATTCAAATAATTTTCTAAAACACATGAGTCTGTGATACAGTACCATATGTATCTCTTTCCAGTAAATGATAGGATCTAGCAGCTGGCCTGACAACTGTAGTTTTTTTCTAATTTCTTTCTTTTATTGATATTTAGAGAGAGAGAAAAACATCGACATGAGAGGGAAGTATCAATCGGTTGCTTCCCGCATGCATCGCGAACCCATAACCTGAGTATGTGCCCAGAACAGGAATTGCAGCCGCCACCTTTTGGTGTATGGAACGACACCCAACCAACTGAGCCACACCGGCTGGGGCAACGACTGTAGTTCTGAGGCAGTTTTGCATGTCAGTGATATTCCAAGGTGTCTGTGCCTGTTACGCAGTAATGCAATATGAAAATATCTGTGATCTTCGTTGGTGACCAAATTCCAGGCACTTCTAGTACCACTGAGCTTTGTGGCCTATGTTTATCACGGAAGGAAAGAATTTCTGAGATGTTAGTGAAATAAAGATGAATTTTTCTCCTTCCTTCCCATCCTGAATGATATCCATGGCCCCANATGAGATGTTAGTAAAATAAAGATGAATTTTTCTCCTTCCTTCCCATCCTGAATGATATCCATGGCCCCACCCTGGTTATGAAATTCTTGTGTTTTTTTTANGAGATGTTAGTGAAATAAAGATGAATTTTTCTCCTTCCTTCCCATCCTGAATGATATCCATGGCCCCACCCTGGTTATGAAATTCTTGTGTTTTTTTTAATCCTCGCCTCAAGATATTTTTTCCATTGCTTTTCAGAGAGAGTGGAAAGGAGAGAGAGAAACATCGATGTGAGAGAAACACATCAATTGGTTGCCTCCTGCACACATCGAGCCTGCAACCCAGGTATGTGCCCTTGACCGGAATCGAACCCAAGACCCTGCAGTCCACAGGCTGACGCTCTAACCATTGAGCCAAACCGGCCAGGTCTGAAACTCTGTTTTAAAGCGTTCTAACCTGGGGAGAGACATGATGAGATTTGCATTAAAAAAAAAAAAATCCCTCTTGGCTGCCACATGGAGAGCAGATGAGCAGTGAGAAGCTGGATGCAGCCCAGTTAGGAGACTGTCCTGAGCGTCCAGACAAGAGATGGTAACAGCTTGGACTAGGTGGTGGCAGTAGAGATGGACAGAATTTGAGAGCTCTTTTTGTGATGGGGGTGAGGGTGGGGGAGAAGGTGAAGAAGGTTCTGGACACCTTGTAGGCGTTTAGCATCTGCTCTGGGCCACGCACTCTGCTAGGTTCTGAAGCTGTGTTTCCTCCTGGAGGAAATGTCAGTCCTGGAGAGAGATTCCATTTATAGCAGAATTTGATACCCAAGAGACACCTGTGCCATGGGAGCCCATATGAGACGTAGGGGTGAAGTCCTGGAGGAGCTTACATTTGACCTTGAAGAATGGGTGGGGCTGCTGGCAAGCATATTTTCAAGTTTTGACAATGAAGACAGTACGACACTAGTTCAGAAACAGATTTTAAGACACAGAATAAATAATCTAGAAGAAATCTGAGTCAGTGGGGAAGGGAAGGATTATTCAATAAATGGTGGGGCTTGAAATAATTAGTTTATTCTTTGAAAAAGATCTACTTAGAGCTGACTTCATACTATACATCTAAATAATTTCCAGGTGGATTGAAAGTTGAATGTAAGAAAAAAAGATCATGAAACATGAATTATTCTTGGTGGCAGGGCCAAGCAATGGAAGGGAGGCAGGAGATGAGGGCCTGTTTGGGTGCTGAGAGGGAGGCCTGGTAAGAGTGGGCCGGGGGTGGGGGTGGGAAGGCTGCTTGGGGTGAGACGGGAGAGGTCTTGGTATCAAGCCAAGGCCACTTTCTTATGCAATCGGGGCCATCTGTAAAACGAGCGGGCTGTATGCCTCAGGGGTGTGAAATTCGGACCAGAGGACCTCCTGGGCCCCAGTTTCAGATCTGTGTCTAGCTCCCTCCATCCCCAGGCTCATCCTTGGAATGATGGTGAACACCTCCTTCCTGTCCATGTGGCTGAGCAACACCGCCTCCACGGCTATGATGCTGCCCATTGCCAGCGCCATCCTGAAGAATCTCTTTGGCCAGAAGGAGACTCGGAAGGACCTCGTCTCAGAGAGTGAAGAGAACACAGGTGAGGCTGTGGAAAGGGACTGGGGACCAACCCCAGCAAGGTGGAGTGGGAGTGGGGATATCCAAAGGGTGTCGGGGAAGGCAAAGGGAATGCACGTATTGAGCACCTACTATGTGCCAAGTATTTTTAAAGTAATAATAATAACTGAAAATTAAGCCAAACCATAGTACTTAAAAATTTTTGCATTTATTGAGCATTTACTATGTATTAAGCAAAGAGTTAAATACTTTCCATATATTATCCCCACCTCTCAAAACAGTCTTGTGAAATAGGTACTATAATTAAACCTTGTTTTAAAGCATTTGAAGAGATGCTCAAATCACTAATGCCCACAAGAATGCAAATTGAAACAACAATGAGATTGACTTCAATGAGTGGCAAAAATGAGAAAGCTGGATAATGCCAAATGTGGGCAGGAATGAGGGCCCCTATAACTCTGAGCACTGCTAGAGAGAGGGGAAACTGGGTTGGCCTTTCTTAAATATTTGCATTTTGCAAATATTTAATCAGATTATCTGTGTATATACCCTGTGACTCAGCAGTTTTGCTCCTGAATGCAAATGTTAAAGGGATTCTGACACAGGACCATGAGGGGACACATGTGACGATGTTCACGGCAGCATTCTCTGGTGTGGCGAGTTGGTAGCCACATGGATGCGACCCCTAGTAAAGGGGACAGTAAGGTGTGGTGGGTGCACACCATTGAGCACTATGTTGCTTTTAGGAGAAAATATAGTTATATAAATGGATTTCATAAAACATAGTTGTGATTGAAAAAGAGCCAGATGGAGTTATAGAATATATCTCCATTGTGGAAATACCATTATGTAAATTAAAATTACACACAAATGACAAAACATTTTGCAAGAACATGAACAAATGAAGAGCTACACAGTAAACACATGAGTGCTTGTTCTGGGAAGGATGGGAGTGGGAACTGGAGATAAAAGGGACTGACTAAATAAATACAACAAAAGAGGGGCCTTGTGCAACAGAGAGAATGTGCCAGGAACTGAGGGATTTGATTCATTCAAATCTCTGAAACTGTGTTCGAAATAAAACAAAATGCAAGGAACTGCTATGTTTATAGATGATTAAATGAGGGCTCGGAGAGGGGAAGTGACTTCCCCAAGTCACACCCCAGGCTCATGGCTGAGCTCGACTTTGCACCCAGGCACCTGGCTCCAGAGCCCACTCTCTTTCCCGGGGCACGTGGCTGGGCTGAGAAAAAGCTGAATTTCCCGGCCTCCCCTCAGTTAGATGGGGCCGTGTGACTAAATTAGCCAATGGGAATGGGAATGGGAATGGGAATGGGAATGGGAATGGGAATGGGAATGGGAATGGGAATGGCAATGTGATGGTGGGGGCAGAGAGCCACCTGGCACCCAGAAATGGAAGCCACATGCTGAAAAATGATCCAGTAGCTCTGGATCATTTACCCCACCCAACACACCAAACATTATCCATGAAACCAGGGGTTTTGTGTGCTAGTTATGTTTTTTCGAATATGCATTAAAATAAATATATATCTGTTGAAAATACACATATTCGTCCATGTCCCATCTCCATTTAATCTCATTTACTGTGGTATGGTTATTTCCCTATCATGCAATAAGGGGTCTTGCTTATTTTATTTCCACAGTGACCTTGAAATCAGGAAATGATTATAATAAGTACTTTATAGATGAGGTTCAGAGAGGTGAAGTGATACGTCCAGAATCAATCACATTGTTGATAAAGTAGCAGAGCCAGGGGCGAGGCAAGGTCAAAGGCTTCCATGTGGAAGGGAAGAGGTGCTCTAGAGCAGGGGTTGGCAAATATTTTCTGTAAATGATCAGATAGTTATTCTAGGCTTTGCGCTGACTCCGTCGCAACCAATCAACTCTGCCCTTGCAGAGAGAAAGCATCCATAGACAGTACATAAATGACTGTGTGTGCGCCTGTGTGCCAATAAAACTTTATTTATGGGTGCTGAAATTAAAATTGTATGCCACTTTCACATCACGAAACATTATTCTTCTACTGATTTTTTTCTTTCTACTGATTTTTTTCCAGCCATTTAAAAATGTTAGTCATTCTTAGCCGGCTGGCAGTGGGCTGGATTCTTAGTTTGTGGATCCCTACTTTGTAGTATCTGCTTCGTCGGTTCTCAAACTGTTTCCCTGAGTCTTGGGGCTCCAAGAGAACTGCCTCGTAATTACCCTGGGGTGGCAGCAAACAGTGAAGGCTTCACTCCTCCCATTTCAACTCCAGCTGCCCCCACATTATCTGTTTTATACACCGAACTTCCAGCTAACGACCACAGGTGTTTATTGCGCACTTGCTTTATGAAGAGCGAGGACTCTTCTTAGGGCCTTACATCTGAGTGAGGTGGAGCTGGCGTTGACCCCATTCAGAGGAATGGAAATTAAGGAAGAAATAAATCAGAAGATAAAGCAGCCCAAGGCCACCCTACTTTCAAAACAGCTGCTCTGGTATTTTGAATCCAGACTGGCTGACTTCAGAGGCTGTGCTCTTAACCTCTGTTATTCTGCTTCCAACACAAGATTTTCTCAGAGTCTAGTGGCCAAAAAAAAAAAAAAGGGAAAGTCAAGTCCCTTATTACAAAGATGAAAAATCTGGGACCCAGGAAGGGGAAAGACTTGCCCAAGGTCACACACAATGTTGGGGACAAAGTGAAATTCAGTGTTCCCTTTTGTTTATGCTGCAGGGTGTCAGGAGGTAGGAGACCCAGGGAGGTTGGGCCAGAGACCTGCTTTTGTGGGCGGTGGGATCAGAAAGCTGGGGTTGGTTAATGGTCAACCCTAAGACCTAATACATAGCTCATTCCAGGGCAAAGGGAGATGCTCCCTTTCACCTAGTTGCTGTGAGGTGAGGTGAGGACAGGGGTGGAGGGCATGGAGGCTGTGTTATGGGGCCAGGGCAGGGGCAAGGATGCTCTGGGGCTTTAAATCCATGAGAGACAGGCACAGCAACAACGACAATGACACTGTGCACTTTCATTTTCTGAAGACCCCACCATATGCCAGACGCTGTGCGAAAATTTTCATACCCATTAGCTCGTTTAATCTTCCTAACAGTACTATGAGGTAGGTAATCCCCATTTTACAGGAGAGAGGAGAGAGGTTCAGAGGCAAAATGATTTGTCCAAAGTGACATGGTGAGTTAGCTACCGTGTACCCAGGGCTGCGGAGGGAAGAGTGAGCTAGAGATGGGAGGGGGCTGAGGGAGTCACTGGGTCAGAGTTCTTCCTGTCCTGCCATCCCCTGGGGAGCAACTCTGCTCCTAGGATCTGTGTCCTATTAACAGCTTCGCTTCCTGCTTCAGTGCCCTGGCCTCTGACCGGATGCCTTGCACGTGGACATGTATTCCCATCAGGGGAGCCCCTAGGTGACCCAGGGCGAACTGATCTATATTTAACCCTCAGGCCCTGGCTGGTGGTCAGCAGTGCCAGCCACATACACAGTAAAAATGGCACAGTCAGCTAACAAGGAATCCTGCTCCCTCCGGGCACCAACAGGGAAGGAGCAGCCCAGAGTGGAGAGAGGAAGGGACTCCCCAAGCCCCTGGGTGAGACAGGGAGGCTGGAGTCTAGACCCTCCTTCCCAGTCCACATGGCAAAGATCCCAGAAACACACCCACATTTGAACAGGTTGAGTTTATTTCCGTTGCTGCAGTGAAGGGGAGCACACACCCAGGCAAACTCGATCATCTCGGTGAGAGGGTGTGTGAAAGGACCTCTCAGAAGACTTGGGCTTTTGCTGGGTCATGTGGAGATCTAAAGGAGCAAGGTTTGCTCTAGATCGGGTGCTGTCAGAAATCAGGGGCAACTCAATGACTGGGGAAGGAAGTAGCAGCCATTCATTTAGCAAGAGTGGGGATGCTTGGTGTTTTGTGGGAGGCAAGTGGCTTTGTGCTTAGACAACTTTAGAGTCCTTGCTTTGGCTCATTTTATCAGAGTGGCTTTGTTTGAGGCCAGTGGTGTGTAAGATTATTTAGGTCCAACAAGAGAACAATGTAGCATATCTGGGTCAGACCAGTTCTAGATGTCAGGGGCCACTTTAATATTCAAGGGTAACCCATATTAACTAAATCTTTGCTGGTGCTCAGATTCCTGTGGAATTCTTTAAGTTACAGTCTGGCAAACTTCGGCCCACCAACTCTAGCTCACTACCTGTTTTATTTTTTTTGTGTTTTTTTGGTGAGTTAAGGACACTTGACATATTTTTAAATGGTTGAAATAAATCAAAAGGAGAATATTTTGTGATGTGAAAATTATATGAAATTCAAACTTCAGTGTCCCAAAATAAAGAGTTAGCCACACTTATTGTTTATGTGTTGTCTGTGGCTACTTCCATGATGTCATTGGCAGGGTTGAGTAGTTAGCAAGAGACACCCTATGGCCTCCCAAACCTAAAATATTTACTATCTGGCCTTTATGGAAAAAGTTTGCCAGTCCCTGCTTTAAATGGTATCTTAGTCCACTTAGGTTGCTATAACAAAAATACCATAGACTGGGTGTTTATTTCTTACAGTTCTAGAGGCTGGAAGTCCAAGATCAAGGAGCCAGCAGATTTGATATCTAATGAGATCCCCCTTCCTGGTACATAGATGGCTGTCTTCTTGCTGTGTCCTCACATGGTTGAAGGGGCCAGAGGGCTCTGTGATATCTCTTTTAGAAGGACACTAATCCCATTCATGAGGGCTCCACCCTTATAACGTAATTACCTTCCAAAGCTCCACCTCCTGACACTATCACATTGGGGATTAGGTTTCAACATATGCGTTTTAGGGAGAATGCATTCAACCTATAGCAGATGGGTCATCTCCTTAACCCTCTTGACAACCCTAGGGAAAGTATCACTCCCATTTCATCAACTGAAAAATTGAGGTGCAGAGAGGTTAAGAGATTCATCTAAACCAATGTTTCTCAACCTCAGCATTATTGACATTTGGGGTGGAATAATTCTTTTCTTGTGGGGGGCTGGCTTGTGCATTGTAGGATATTTTGCAGTATCCCTGGCCTCTACCCACTAGATACCAGTAGCACACTCCGCACACCTCAGTTGTAGCAACCAAAATTGTGTCCTGACATTGTCCAATGTTTATGGGAGAATTGGCCCCGGTTGGGAACCACTCATCTAAGGTCACATGGTAAATGATGGAGCTATGATTTGAACCCAGAACCCATGTGTTCAACTATCAGTCACATGCCCAATACCCAGGGATGGGTTCTTTTGCCCTTGGTGATGATTTCAGCTGCAAGAAATTGTAATCCCTTCAATTTTTCTTGTCTGTAAAATACTCCCAAAGGCTCCTAGGGAGACTGACCTATCAAACAAGGGATACTTTTAAAATAAAGTCAGATCCTTTCCTGACTCCTCTGTTTAAATACTCCCTGCCTCTGCTCCCATGTGACTCAGAGGAGAAGCCGATGTTTTACTGAGATCCCCAATTTTTCTGTATGACCCAGTCCACCTCCTGCCACCCCCACTCCTTGCCACTTTTCTCACCTCACCTCCTGTTCCTCTCCTTCTCTCTCAGGCCCCTCCAGCCCCGCTGGTCTCCCTTCTGCTTCTGGACACACCATCACCCTCTCACCTCAGGGCCTCTGCACCTGCTCTTCATTTCCCCAAAGGTTTACATGGCTCACCCCCTCACCTTCTTCAGGTGTCTGTTCAATCTTACCTTCTCAGTCAGACTTTTCTTGACCATCCTTTAAAAAAGGTGTCCCATTCCGGAATATTGGTCCCCTACCCTGCTTTATTTTTCTCCATGACACTAATTTCCATTTGACATACTGTATATTATACTTATTTGTTTTTGGTCTGTCTCCCAACAAGACGTAAGTTCCACAAGAACATGGATTTTCATGTCTTGTCACTCAGGAACATTATTGATGGAGTGATCAGCTAGGGTTCACATGACTGAGTTCTACCCTGGGCTCCAAGTTGTACCGAGCTCTTGTCTAAGAAGAACTGAAGCACACTCACAACTTATTCATTTTCAACAGCTCTATGGCCACTAGCCTAGTGTAGTCATCATCATCTTACCTGGAAAATGCAATAGATTCTGAGCTGGTTTCCCAGCCTCCACTTTTGCCCCGATATAGTCCACTCTCCCCTACCAGGCCCAGAGATGTTTGCAAAATGTCAACCACACGATATCCATCTTGGGCTCTAAATCCTGCAAGGGTTCGCCATCCTTGAATTGACATCTGACTTCTATTGACTTATGTGTACCCCACTCCCACTCCCTATCTCCCCTAGGCATTTCCTACTCACTACTTTCCCAGCACACTGGTGTTCTTATGGTTCCTCAATTCTGCTAAGCTTCTTACCCCAGGGCCTTTGCACTTGCTGTTCCTGTTGCTTGAAACTCTTTTCTCAAGGCTCTTCATGTGACTGGCTCCTTTTTATCCTTGAGGGCTCAGATCAAATGCCATCAGCTCATGGTATCTCACCATTGACTGATTACAGAAGGCCACCTGTTCCCCACTCTGCAATTGTTTTCCATCACATGGCCCAGTTTTATGTCCTCCATCACTTTCATCACTACCTGAAATTTTCTTTCTGTGTTTATTGTCTGTCTCCTTTCTAGAACATAAGCTTCATGGGAACAGGGACCTTTTTGTATACTTTTCACTGTGTACCCCAAGTTCATAGTCAATAGCACATTGCAGGTGCTCAATAAATACTTCTTGAATGAATGAATGGGAAATTGGGGTCACCCATCCCATTGCTCACCCATTACCAATCATAACTAGTCTTTCTCAAACATCCTTTTGGCAATGGCTGTTCAGGTAAGCCTAGGCTTGAGTTATGGGATGGCAAGCAGTCTTGCAGCTAACTCCCTGCCCATCCATCTGGGGCTATCCCCAATTAGAGATGGGTGCGACAGGAAGATGGAATGTTGAGTGACTTATTTTATTTATTTGATTGAATGAATAGTATGGGATCCTTGGCAAAGAGTGGAGCCTGAAGAAGCACTTTTGGCTGCCTACAAAAAATGGGCACACTTCTGTCCCATTCACATGACACTAAAAACATCGTGCTTTCTTCTCCTAGCTGCTGTGCGGACAAAAGCCCTGCACACTGTGCCGACGGAGATGCAATTTCTTGCCAGCACTGAAGAGTGAGTTCCTGGTGAAAATAATAGAGGAGCCAGTGCTTGGTCCAAGAAGATGATGAACGAGAATTCAGTGTTGCAAGCAACCTACCTCCCATCTCTGAAATTTTCTCCAAATGACCTAATTGCCCAAGTTTCCACCCTTTGGCATATGCATAGACCTCCACAGGACGCTTAAAATGCAAATGTGGTCTGGAGGGGCAGGAGGGGGGGGGGAGTACCTTAAATCCCTAGAGTCCTGGTAAAGGGAGGGTCTCCTGGGCGGCCAGGAAGAGCAGGAGAGCACAGGCCACGTGATAATCAAGAAGGAGGGGGTGCAGACCAGGTCAGGAGGCGCTAAGGACAAAAGTGTCCTATGACAGAATAATAATCCTTCACACTTATGTGAGTGCAGAAGCACCTTCACATCACTAGCATGTTCAGTCTGTGGTTTACTTTGTACATGACAACATGGTTAAGATCTTGGGGCTTGGAGCTTATTAACTTTGAACCTGGCTCTGCCACTTACCTGCTGTGTCATTTAGACAGGTCACTTAACCTTTCTGAGCCTCAATTAAGTCCACCTACCAACTGGACATGATATTGGAACCCACCTTAGAGGGCTGCTTTGAGAGGAAATGGAATAATGTTGACAAAGCCGGTTGCCAGGCCCTACATGCACGATGGTAGCTCTTGTCATTAATGGCATCTTATCTTGATTTAACGGCAATGAAACAGTGCTCTCTTTATCGCTGGGCATCTTCCAGGTCTGTTTCATTCATTCAGCAAATAGTTATTGAGAGCTTAGGATGAGCCTGGCGCTACCAGGGATGCAGCGACGAGCAGACAAAACATTTCAGACCTGGGGAACTGACGCCCCAGCGACAAGGAACAAATACACAAGTAAAATCCAAAATACGTCCCATGGTTGTGAGTGTTGTGCAGGAGAACAAAGCAGTAAAGGGCTAGGGAGGAGCCTGGAGGTGGAAAAGGGAAGCTTTGAAACGGGTGATCAGGGAAGGCCTCTAAGAAGGCCATGCGGAGCAGACGCCTGCAGGAGGTGACGGGTCATGGGGGCGCTGCCCGGGCTCTCAGCAGGGGGACCAGTGGGGAAAGTTCCTGAGAGTCCAGAGCAAACAGGAAGCCTGTGTGTTCCCTGTGTGGCTGGAGTTGGGTGAGTGGTTGGTAGGGGATGATGTCGGAGAGCTTGCCTGGATGGCGAGAGGGTGGTAGTAGTGGGACAGAGCATGTGGGACCTCATAGGCCATCGACGTAGCGTTGACTTTGAATGGGAGGGGAGCTGATGGAGGGATGCAGAGGAAGAACATGATCTCCCATCTGATTGTTTTATCCCATGACCTGTGCTCCTCCCCAGCACCACTTGGGAGCTTTGAGTCCAGCTCTGAGATTATGGGTCCTGTGATGGCCCAGCCACTCACTACAATGCAACCTGGGAATCAGTTTTAACCACCTGCCTATGAGGTTTATGCTGAGTTATTGGAAAAGACCCGCTGCCACTCTCTGGAACTCCATGTCCATTAGATGAAAATTCCATGTCCATTGGATGCAAGCCCCACCCCCTCTCGGCCTCAGTTTCTCCATCCAAACAAAGAAGGTTGTACTAGATGAACTCTTTCTGCTCTCTGTTCTCACTCTGAGGCTTGGTCTGGGTGGGTTCCCAGATCTGAGAGAGGCTACGGTTCCTGACCAGCTGCTCACCTGAGAAGTCCGACCATGCGTGACATGGGTCTCCAGCTGCTTCCTTGTGTTCCTTTCAGACTCCAGATCATGTCCCCATTGCCCACTGGAGAAGGGGCCCCTGATGTAGCAATTAAGACCAGAAGGTATTTGAAGGATCTTTTATTCTTTAAAAATATTTGATTTGTTGCACAGGAGCAATTCTTAATTTCATTTGTAATTGCAAAGGTCAAAAAAATACTCTTAAACAAAAAATATATTCAGCATCTCATTCCCAAAGACAGATTAAAACAATTAAGTGAATACCATTCTAGATTATTTCTTGATACCTCTTTATATACATAAATACATTTTCTTAAATAAAAATACTGACAACGGTATATATGCTGTTTTGAAACCTGTTATCTCACTTAATGGAGTGTAATGAACATCTTTTCACCTTAATAAATTTGTGTCAACATCATTATCTTTAATTACATAGTTAACAATTCTTAATTGCATTCTTTCCCAAAACTCTTGAACTGTGCAAGAACAACCCAGAAAATGCAAATAGGAAAAAAAACTAGTTCAGCTACCTGTCTTTTCACTTTATAAAATGGACAACTTTCATCTTAATACACTCATCTAAGTCATCATTTTTTAATAGCTGCATTGGTGTTCCATCCAGAAAGGGGGTCACTTTTATTTAGCCAATCCCTCTCATCCTTTTTGAATCCTCACCTGAGGAGAGGGTATTTTTTCCACTTTTCCATTGCTTTTCATAGAGAGTGGAAGGGAGAGAGAGAGAAACATCTATATGAGAGACATATCGGTTGGCTGCCTCCCACACATGCCCCAGGGCCAGGGATCGAGCCTGCAACCGAGGTATGTGCCCTTGGGCAGAATCGAACCCAGGACCCTTCAGTCCACGGGCTGACGCTCTAACCACTGAGCCAAACTGGCCAGGGCTAGCCAACCACCCAACAACAACAACAACGACACCTACAACACCCCCCC